GAATCATTACACAACACTATGAAAAACTGTACTCTGACAAATTTGACAACCTAGAGGAAATGGACAAATTTCTAAAAACTCCCTACTTACCAAAACTAACACAAACAGAGGTAGAACAACTAAATAAACCCATAACACAAGAAGAGATTGAAAAGGTAATTTAAAAACTCCCAATAAAAAAAGCCCTAGCCCAGATGGCTTCACTGGAGAATTCTACCAAACATTCAGAGAAACGTTAACACCACCATTACTAAAGATATTTCAGAGCATAGAAAAGGATAGGGTACTCCCAAACACATTCTATGAAGCCAGCATAACCCTGATACCAAAACTAGGTAAAGACACCACAAAAAGAGAAAACTACAGACCAACATCCCTCATGAACACTGACACAAAAACCCTCAACAAAATTCTAGCCAATAGAATTCAGCAACATATCAAAAAAATAATTCACCATGATCAAGTGGGATTTATACCAGGTACGCAGGGATGGTTCAACATTAGAAAATCAATGTAACCCATCACATAAACAAAACAAAAGACAGAACCACATGATCTTATCAGTCGATGCAGAAAAGGCATTTGACAAAGTCCAGCACCCATTCACGATAAAAACTCTCAATAAAATAGGAATAGAAGGGAAATTCCTCAGTATAGTTAAGGGCACTTATACAAAGCCAACAGCCAGCATCATCCTAAATGGAGAGACTTTGAAAGCACTCCCCTTGAGAACAGGAACAAGACAAGGATGCCCTTCATCAGTACCCTTATTCAACATTGTGCTGGAGGTCCTAGCCAGAGTAACTGGGCTAGAGAAAGACATAAAGGGCATCCAAACTGGTAGGGAATATGTAAAAGTATCTCTATTTGCAGATGATATGATCTTATACAAAGAAAACTGCAAAGAATCCACAAGAAAACTACTGAACTAATAGAAGATTTCAGCAAAGTTTCAGGATACAAGATAAATGTACAAAAATCAGTTTGATTCCTTTACACCAACAAACGGAACCTTGAAGAGGAAATCACCAAATCAACACCATTTATAATAGCCCCCAAGAAGATAAAATACTTGGGAATAAATCCAACCAGACATGTAAAAGAGCTGTACAATGGAAACTACAATACACCAATGCAAGAAACCAAAAGAGACCTGCATAAGTGGAAAAACGTACCTTGCTCATGGACAGGTAGACTCAACATAGTGAAAATGTCAATTCTACCCAAAGCGATCTACAGATACAATGCAATCCCAATCCAAATTCTAATGGCATTTTTGAATGAGATGGAGAAACAAATCAACAACTTCATATGGAAAGGGAAGAGGCCCCGAATAAGTAAAGCATTACTCAACAAAAAGAACAAAGTGGGAGGCCTCACACCTGATTTTAGAACCTTTTATACCACCATGGTACTCAAAACAGCCTGCTTCTGGTACAACAAAAGACACACTGACCAATGGAACAGAATTGAGAATCCAGACATAAATTCATCCACCTATGAGCAGCTGATATTTGACAAGGGCCCAAAGTTCGTTAACTGGGGAGAAGACAGTCTCTTTAACAAATGGTGCTGGCATAACTGGATATCCACCTGCAAAAAACTGAAAGAAGACCCATACCTTGCAGCATGCGCAAAAACTAACTCAAAATGGATCAAAAACTTAAATACAAAATCAAAAACAATAAAGATCATGGAAGAAAAAATAGGGACAACACTAGGAGCCCTAATACATGGCACAAACACAATACGAACCGTAAGTAACAATGCACAAGCACCAGAAGAGAGGCTAGATAACTGGGAGCTCCTAAAAATCAAACACTTATGCTCATCAAAAGACTTCACCAAAACAGTCAAAAGACAACCTACAGACTGGGAAAAAAATTTTGGCTAGGACAAATCAGATCAGTGTGTAATCTCTAAAATCTACAAGATACTCCAAAACCTCAACAACAAAAACACAAATAACCCAATTAAAAAATGGGCAAAGGAAATGAACAGCCAGTTCGCCAAAGAAGATATTCAGGCAGATAACAGACACATGAAAAAATGTTCACGATCGTTAGTCATTAGAGAAATGCAGATCAGAACTACAATGAGATATCATCTCACCCCAACGAGGCTAGCATTAATCCAAAAAACACAAATTAATAAATGCTGGAGAGGCTGTGGAAAGACTGGAACACTTATACACTGTTGGTGGGAATGTAAAATGGTACAGCCACTTTGGAAATTGATTAGGCACTTCCTTAAAAAGCTAGAAATAGAAGTACCATACGATCCAGCTATCCCGCTCCTTGGAATATATCCTAGAGAAATAAGGGCCGTCACACAGATATATGCACGCCCATGTTCACTGCAGCACTGTTCAAGATAGCAAAAAGATGGAAACAACCTAGGTGCCTATCAACGGACAAATGGATAAACAAATTATGGTATATCCATACAATGGAATACTACGCAACGATAAAGAACAACGATGAAGCTGTGAAACATAACATGGGAGGAAGCTGGAGGTCATTATGCTGAGTGAATTTAGTCAGTCATAGAAGGGCAAATATTGTATAAATTATAAGAACTTAAAAAAAGGTTTAAACACAGAAGAAAACATTCTTTGATGGTTA